TTTTATGAAACTTTTCAGGATAAAATCCATCACGGGATCCACGAAATAATAATTTGAATTCATATGGAGAATTTAATTTATCAGTAATTTCTAATTTACCGACCCATTTTGAGATTATTTCAGCGTGTTGAGATGTAATAATATTAGAATCAATATCTCTTGAATCGATATTTCTAGGTATACGAGGTTTTGATTCACCTTTCTTATTATCAGAATCCAAAAAACTCAATAATAAATCTTCATATAATTCTTTTGGTAAAACTTCTTTATAAGGATGTACTTCATATGCAAATTCTTTGGAAGTTAAATTATAGAATCTAATAAACGGAATGCATTGTCGCAAAGTATTCTTCAAAGTATTAAAATCGTCTTGTGAATAGTCTTCAAGTTTTGCTGAATTCTGAGCAACTCCCCATTTAAATACATGCTTCCAAACTTGCACTTCGCTCATTTGAAGATTATCATTTTGGATAACCGCAATTAAAAGTTTTTCTGGAATTGAAGTGAAATCTTGCGATTTGAATATCTTATCTGGTTCATTAGATATTAAACCATTACAATAATTTTGGAGGTCCAGGAAAGAATCATTTTCATAGCTTGTTTGATATATTAAATCAAAATTTTGTTTCATCCAGTTTGCTTTGTTTTCAATTAAAAAGGATTGAATATAGATAACTAACTCCTGAAGACTTAGTTCATTAGCGGCAACTAGTAATTTAATTATATTTGATGGATCAATTTCTTTTAAAGAAAGTTTTCCGCTATAAATGTATCTAAAAAATAAAAAATACAATATTTGAGATTAAAAATATTAACAATATATTGATTCAATTAGTTCTTACCTTAAAATTATTTCGAAAATTTCTGGTAAAATATTAGGTAATTCAATACATGTCAAAGTCCCATCATTATTTTTTTTGTTAGTCGACAACTTTCTTCGTAGGTAAGGAGAACGGTAACTTAAAATAACCATATGAGCGTGAAATGTTTTTACATGAGGGTTATCACCAACTTCAATATTAACATCATAATACTCGTCATCATCCAAAATTTCAAGGAAATTTTGTGATAATTTTGGTAAAAATTTAAAATTATCAATAATGTTCGTTTCTGCATTTTCAATAACTGCCGAACCATCATCCCACTTTTGCAAAATGAATTGTTGATTCTTGCCACCATGCTTTTCCCACAAGTGGATGATGTTAGTACTCTATAAAAATACAAGTTTTAAAAAAAAAAATATTATCATTATAATCTCTAATATTATATCAAGAAAAGCAATTTAAATTGCATACCGAGACATCAAGGACAAAATTTCGATTAAATTTAAAATAGAAAGAATTGTCCTTATAGTTGTATTCCCATTCTTGACTGCGAGAAGGTTCATCATGCTTTTGGTATTGAACAATTTTCGTACCTTTATGATAGTAATTAAAATACTTTAATTGTGGAATTAGAGAAAACAAAATAATATTCACTAAATAACTCACCATTTTGGCATTTCGCTTGATTATCAAAGAAATTTTTTTTTGATTTAGAAATTAAAAGATTTGATTTCAATAATTAATATTGTTACTTACCTTCAACAACATCAAGCACGAAGCCAGATCTTTTATTTACAATAAATCCACCATTAAAATACCAGAGTTGCATATCAACCTAAACATGGAGAAAATAAAAACAATCAATTAATAAATAATAATCACACTATAATCACACGCTATTATTCTATTAAAATCTTATGTCAACACTACGTTGGGATCAAGCTCGGATTTCTTACTACGTTGGAAAATTTCAGCAGAACTACAAAAAGAGCCATCTTTAACTTCAAGAACTTTCCCAGAATGTTGAGCTATAATCCAATAATAGGTAGTCATTTTCAGAATGATTCAGAATAAATTCAGAATAAATTAAGCGAGGGAAAGTATCAAAAAAAATTTTCTATGCCGATTTGTACATATTTTATTCGGCAAACGGAAAATCATTTAGCCAATTACACAAGTCACGCGCCCTAACACATGATCTTGATGTCCATAAATTAAATCCGCTTGTAATAATTATTTATGACGATAAATATAAGATTAAATATGTATTATATTATACTTTTATTTGGTGAGAAAATAATGGAGATTTGAATGATCTAACGTTTAAATACATCGATATTATTCTAAAAGATTTCGGCTTAAATGTTTTATGTAAAATAAATTACCAATTTCTAAACTTGATGACGGCAAAATTTTTATTTATGTTCGAAAAAAGAAGTTCATATATAGCGACCACTCTTTTTTTATAGAATTTTAAAATTTAAATCTTGAATTTTATTATTATTGATCAGATCAGACTTAAACTGAAATTATATAACGTCCCGTCCATCATTCACAAGCCATTTGGAATATATTTTCAGTGAGCAGATAATACAAGGTTAATGCTTCGAATTATCGTAATCGCCCTTTGAAATGAGGTATTACAAGACATTTCTGTTATTTTATATAAAAAGAAAAATCTCAAAATTGCATCAACTAATAATCTTACTCTGTCAGTTTCTGATATTAATAATCCCGAAAAATCAATTGAAGAGACAAACAAGAATTTTTTGCGATTATCATTTTTCAAGTAAAACATTGATACGTACTATTCCAGATATTATATTAATTTAACATTTAATTCTTTCACTGATACTAAATTTTATTAATTCTTTAAAAAGGTATTCTATTTATAAGACATTTTTGTTATTCAGTCTATAATAATATTCGTGAGACATAAAAACAAAATGGATTTTTGAATAATGACGATTGATATTAAATAATATGTTATTATAATACTTATGCGTGATTTATCCTTATTTTTTATGTTTTTGAAGTTTAATATAGTTTTCTTTTAAGATTTTTACTTCAAATCACCAAATCACCGGGGTGATCATCACCGTTGGCCAGAATTATCAATTTTTACCGGTACTATATTTTTTAATGCTGATCGATCGTCATAATTTCAGTCACCGGTGATTATCACCTCCGGTGATAGTTAGAAAAATTCTTCTTTTAAATTAAAATTTTATTGAATACTAACACAATTTTATCAAAGTGGTAAATAAAATTTGATAAAGTTTATAAATATTTTTATTCATAATATTTCTTCGATTTTTATTATTACCAATGTATTTGTTTTTAATGATATATTAAAGTACTTATATTTTGAAAAGTATGTTGTGACTATTTTATAATTTTTTATAATTAAATGATATTGAATTACATCAATTTATAGGGCGAAACAATCGAAACATCCTACTAATGGGGATATGATGAAATAAATAAAAAATTAGAGCTTCCGTTTGAAATTAGGAATTCGAATATTCGTTTGTAAATCTTGTGAAATTAGATATTCGAATATGGTAAAGTGATATTCAAATATGCCAGTAGATTCGAATGTGTCACGTAGATTCGAATATGCCAGTAGATTCGAATATGCCATATAGATTCGAATGTGTTACATAGATTCGTGTGATTCAAATATAAAGTAGAAAAACCAATTTTTTTAAAAAGAGAAATATTAATTTGCTTGATATTTTGTAATATAATTTTAATAAAATTTTTTGCGAAATACGAAGTTACTATAAAAAAATATGTCAATTGAATTTTTACATTTCCGTAATATTTAATAAATATTTAATAAATTTAATATCAAAAACTTTCAAATATTTGAATCTCGCTATGACTTTCAAACGGAAGCTTTATCAGAAAAATACAGAGCTGAGCAGTTTAAGAGATATTATAACAAGCATTACTCAAAAAGGTAGATGAAGCAATTTTTTATTCTCCATTTGAATCATTCACTGAAATATGAATAGATAATTTAGGCCTATTGTACGAAAAACCACCTAGGTTATATAATTATCTTCAAAAGTAGAGCCTTATGGTAACTGAATATTAGTCAGGAGGAGTATTTACTCCAGTATTACCACAAACTTTCTACCCCTTGTGACTTTTGGCCGGCATAATGGAGTTAAGAAATTATCTATGTGATGAATAATGATTTATTTATTTATTTCATAAAGAGGAGTGATCAGCCCTATAAAAAATTTTTATCCGAATATTTCCATTATTTCTCCGTGTCTTCCGTAAAAATTCCGTGAAAATGATACATTCACGGATATCCGTGTTAGTGAGATGAAAATTTCCATGATTTAAGGCTATAAATTCCATGAAAATGATACATTCACGGAAAAAACATGGAAAGATAAAACACGGATCAGATTTTTTACAAGGCAGAGATCTATACATTGATAGGTATTTAAATACAAAGAAATAAAGAAGAACTATTCTAATATAAGATACATGGATACCAATGCCAATCCTGTAAGAAATAAAATCCACCCAGGACAGGACCTCACCCTTTGATTTAAACTACTAAAATGGTAGAACCACACTACAGTTAATAAAGGACGTGACTAAATAAAAAAGACCATCCTTCCGTAAGAGCTATCTAAAAGAAAAGAAAAAAAGAAAAAGATAAAGATAAAAATAAAATTACTGTAACGTAAAAAAAACCAAAGGGGTTAATATCAGAAATAAAAATCATTATGTCAAACAGGGATAGTCGTAGAATATAAATCTAATTGAAGAGAGTTTAACCATGGAACATTATGTAAAAAGTTCAAACTTGCGAGATAATTCCACATTGTGAAAGCATCAATAAGAGATTTCCTTTTGTTAAACGGGTTAGTATATCTGAATAGATCATCAGTTGGTCGAGAATGGTTAGCATTGCATGTAAGTTGGTCATGAGTAATGCGATTGAGTCTTTTCATAAGACGTTTGTATTTGGTAAAAGATGATCTTGTGATATTAAGGTCTTTTTTTAGTTCCATCCATTTAATCTTGTGACATTTCCAGATAACTTCAAAAATATCTTTATGTAAATCAAATAAGAAGTTAATGATCAGTTAGCTTTTGATATTTTTGCTGCGGTAAAAAGATACACTAGATCTTCTGGAACAAAGTTCATTAATAAATAATGAAGAGAAAGAAAATCTGTAATAAGAGAATTGTTATGAGTTGACCAAGTAAACAAAGAGCATCTAATAATGGAGTCTTCATATAAAGTAGGCAAAAAATCAGAGTTGGATACTATTAAAGTTCGAAGGATGTCATGATGTTTTGTAAAAATGGGTTGTAGAAGAGAATGTATTGAAGGGCATGACCAAAGGTGAACATTCATCTCTTTTTCATTATGGCAAAAAAAGCATGTAGTGAAGTTGTTGAGGAGGTCTGGATAATTTCTATTTAGTATATCCACTACCGGACACCGTAAGGCATAACCGCCGTTAAGGCTTAAAATACATATGAAACATGTGAATATGTGATACTGAATCATCAAACACATGTACACAGGAATTTCGCTTATCTGTTTTTATCTGTTAATATTTTACATAATATTATTTGTTGTATTAGTATTGTGACAACTAATAACAATATTGGCGTTAGTATTATTCCTTGCAAAAAAAGTCAATCCGTTTTTTATATTCCATCTTTTTTCCATAAAAGGCTCATATTTCCGGAATTAATAACCTTATATTGCGGAATTTATCTAATTATTTACATTTTCCGTGAATGGATCCGTGAAAGGCTCATTTTTACGGAGTTTTTACATAAAGGTTTCCATTTGTAACTAAAATTTTGTAAAAAAAAAAGTAACTATACTCACTTACGCTATTTAATTATTACTTTCATAAATTCAATATTCCTATTCTTGGTGTCAAATTGTTATGCAGTGATATGACCTAAAATATAAGTCTTTTAAGTAAGGATAATATTATAATGATAATTATTCAAAATCAGTTAAAAAAAAATGAGCTTACTTTCTTGATCCCTTTACAATAAACAAAATTTTATGGCTTCGTCCATTTGATATCATACGATTAAGTTTTGATATTGCATTGTTCGTTACAATTGTGGCGCAATGTCCAGATGACTGTACTCACTGCGGTATCTACTGCCGTTCAAAAGATTTATTGACATCAAAATCTCGCACTTTCAAATTATTAATTTAAAGTGGCTTTGAATCTTAACGTGGCTTGTACACCTCCTTTACTTCGCCTTCATTGATTACGTGCTGCTATAATAACACCTTGAGAAAGAGGATTGAAAATTAAAACAACAAATAACGAATTAAAAATTATATACAGTATAACACACACAAAATTAATTATGCAATTAAAATATTTAGTTATTGTTGATTTTTCGTCTTTAATATTGTTTTAGCAGGTAAATAAATCATCACTTTAAATAAAACTATTTTTTTTTATTATAACTAGAGGATTCTAATGTGCGGTGACTTCGTCACCGCTAATTGATCTGTTTAAATTGAAATGTATAATATAAATAGTATAATATTAATTTTATTATTGTTATGAACTTATTTATAAAAGAGATAGCAAATAGGTTAGAGATAATTGCAGTGTAATAGACCTTAAAGAAGATTGACATATGAAATCTTATTGATCAAAGATTTTATAAGGTATTATAATGGATGAAAATATATTCATTATTTTATTTTTAAAGTTTTTAAATTATTTGTTGCCATTGTAAAAAAAATTTTTTTTATTAATTAATCATTTTATTTATATTAATAAAATAAATAAACAATCTTTTTGTCTATTCTTACATTTTATTTTTATTTTATTATTTAATAAATAAATAAAATATGAAATAATTTTGGGTAAAAAATCAAAATTTTTATCTAAAAAATAAATAAAAAATCAGAGTTTTTTTAATCTAAAAAGCATTTTTTTTTTTTTTTTGATATCTGAAATATTTTATCTAAAAGAGCAATAAAATTTGATTGATTAGTAATAATAAAAAGTATAAGACTAATTTTAACCCGGGGTGATTTAATCCGGGTGATTTAACCTACTAGTAAATTTTATATAATTATATGAATTATTCAACCCCTATCATGTGATAAATTTGATTGGGCTGACTAATATTTATAGTTACACTATCTGTTTATATTGTTTTTTTTCGGTTTTTCCTTCCCCCTTGTTTTTTTCTTTTCTCTCTGTTTCGTTTTATTTTCCTTCCATTTCCCATTCCATTTTCTTTTTTTGTTTATTATTTTTATCTGCTTTCTTTTTTTTTTTTAGTACATTTTTTTTAGGTCTTTAGGCTCTTCAACATTATATGACGCGTTTTGCTCTTAACTTGTTTTTATTTGGTCATTAACATTTTTTATGGGTTTGCTCCTTAACTTAACTATGGGGTTTTTTCTTTTTTCTTTGTGGTGGGTATCTTTTTTTATTCTTTAATCTTTAGGTTCTTGTTTATTTTCTAATTTTTATTCTTTACTAACTATCTTTTCTTTACTCTATACTGCTCTTTGACTTAATATGTTTTACTTTTCTGTCACGAATTTTACTTTTTGACTTCATAGGTTTCATCATCATTTCATTCTTTAACTTTTTACATGAGTTTCATTCTTTATTCTTATAGCTTTGTTCTTTTGTCTGCTTTGTTATTGTCATGTATTTTTTTGTGTGTCCTGTTAAAAATAAATAAAATGAGTTTTTTCTAATTAATAAACTTTGATTAAATTATAGTACAAAAAAATTTTGCGAATAAAAGTGTTGCAAATTTTCAGTAATGAAAATAAATTAAATTAACCAATCAAAATTAATTGGTGTAAAATATAAATTTTTAGGGGGGGGAGTGATTTAACCTGGGTTAGTATTTACAGTGTTCTGAAATGACCTGGTCATTTGACCTTTTAAATGATTTATGAAATCATTTGTCATTATTCATAATCATTTGTCATTTGATCATTTCAATCATTTGATTTTGATTGGCTAATATTTATCACATAAATAATCATGTGACTATAATTAAAAAATAATGAATGTAGTGTAGGCAAAAATTATAATGCTGACCAAAATTACATTCAAATGACCAAAGGTCATTTGTCATTTAAGCATTGAAATGACATGTCATTTGTCATTTGTCATTTGAATCATTTGGTCATTTCAAGTCATTTGCCAAACACTGGGTTATTTAACCCGGGGGGCAAGTTAGCAAAACTCTTTTTTTTGAAAAAGGAAATCATTATTACACAAAATGATCCAGCAATTCGGTAAACAATATGAAAAAATACATTTTTAAGGTAACACAATTTTCTATCTGACCGTCCTTTATTATAGTATGTTAACAATATGTTTATCAATTTTCTAAGGAAAATTATCGCTTATTTATTTATTTTTAATTTTAAGCATTTTTATTATTAATTTTATTGATGACAAATAACGTAGAATTTAAATCGTCAGTGATTGCGCCTCAGCATGTAAGTAATGTAAGTAATGTTAGAATTAAAATTATTATATTATTATACTGACGAAATTCGATTTTGGCGTTTTGGGTTAATTTTGCAGATTTACTGTCAATTATACAGATGCGACTTCAATACATCATCACATGTTTTTATGATCACTTAAAACGATCTTTTTGAAATCATTATCAAAGACATAATGCAGAATATATAGGTTTATATAATTTCATGTTAAAAACGAGTTACATAGATTGGAAGATATCTTGTTAGAATTTTAATAGAAATTAATGTATCAGCGATCATAGTATACATCAAAATTATGTCTTAAATGTAAGAGATTTTATGAAATGTGATTAAACTTATTTACTTTTAATAATCACACAATATATAATATAAGTTAAAATGTAAAATAAAGCAAACAAATACATAATTAGTATTTTTTTCGCTGAATAATTAATCTCATACGGATTTTTCATTCAAAAATAGTTGAAAATCATCGCATCATTGATGATTTACTTCTTTGGAAGTTAAATTATAGAATCTAATAAACGGGATGTATTGTCGTAAGGTATTCTTCAAAGTATTAAAATCTTCTTAGGTTAGATGGAAGTTTTGCTGAATTTTGAGAAACTCCCCATTTAAGTACATGTTCCCAAACTTGAATTTCGCTTATTTGAAGATTATCATTTTGGATAACCGTAATTTGCGGTGATTTGAATATAATATCTGGTTCATTTGATATTAAATCATTATAATAACTTTGAAGGTCCAGGAAAGAATCAATTTCATAGCTTGTTTGATATATTAAATCAAAATTTTGTTTCATCCAGTTTGCTTTGTTTTCAATTAAAAAGGATTGAATATAGGTAACTAACTCCTGGAGACTTAGTTCATTAGCGGCAACTAATAATTTAATTATATTTGTTGGATCAATTTCTTTTAAAGAAAGTTTTCCGCTATAAATGTATCTAAAAAAATAAAAAATACAATATTTGAGATTTAAAATATAATGATAGATAAATTAATAATACATTAATTCAATTAGATTTTACCTTAAAATTATCACAAAAATTTCTGGTAAAATATTAGGTAGTTCAATACGTGTCAAAGTCCCATCATTATTTTTTTTGTTAGTCGACAACTTTCTTCGTAGGTAAGGAGAACGATGACTTAAAATAACCATATGAGCGTGAAATGTTTTTACATGAGGGTTATCACCAACTTCAATGTTTATATGATCGTAATATTCGTCATCATTCAAAATTTCAAGGAAATTTTGCGATAATTTTGGCAAAAATTTAAAATTATCAATAATGTTCGTTTCTGCATTTTCAATAACTGCCGAACCATCATCCCACTTTTGCAAAATGAATTGTTGATTCTTGCCACCATGCTTTTCCCACAAGTGGATGTTAGTACTATTATCAGTTTTCGCCCCCTATAAAAAATACAAGTTTAAAAAAAATTATTATTATTACGATCTCCAATATTATATATATCAAGAAAAGCAATTTTAAATAGCATACCGAGACATCAAGGACAAAATTTCGATTAAATTTCAAATGGATAAAATTGTCCTTATAGCTGTATTCCCATTCTTGACCAAGGCAGGTTCATTTTGCTTTTGATATTGAATAATTTTCGTACCTTTATGATAATTAAAATACTTTAATTGTGGAATTAGAGAAACAAAATAATATTCACTAAATAACTCACCATTTTGGCATTTCCCTTGATTATTAAATAAAATTTTTTTTTTTTTGATTTAGAAATTAGAAGATTTGATTTCAATAATTAAACTATATTGTTACTTACATCCAGCGGCATCAAGCACGAAGCAAGATCTTTTATTTACAATAAATCCACCATTAAAATACCAGAGTTGCATATCAACCTAAATATAGGGAAAATAAAATTAATCAATTAATAGATAATAATCACACTAAAATTACACGCTATTATTTTATTAAAATATTATGGTTAACACCTTTATGTTGGATAATTTCAACATAACTACACAAAGAGCCATCTTTAACTTCGAGAACTTTCCCAGAATGTTGAGCTATAATCCAATAATAGTTAGTCATTTTCAGAATAAATCAGAATAATTCAAAAGGTAAAGAGAATATCAAAAATTTTCTATGCCGAGTAAATATCTAAAAAAATGTTCTCAAACACGGATATTTTCTTGATCGTAATCTTCGGCGTCACAATTGTAATTTACGAGATGGTAACCCGTAGTGTCCTTACCATGGATATGATCCAGGGCATTTTTTCGGGAAACATAAACATTTATATAATCTTTGCCGTTACTATCTTCTTTTTTCGCAAATATCTAATGTGATCAGGAGACAATAACCTCGAAAGAACAGTCTTAACATAAGCAATGAACTTCAAAGAATGCGTACAGAAGCCGAATGGAGAAATGATGCGATATCTCAAGGTAAGTCATGCGCTACGGAGGAAGAAAAAAAAATATCACGTCATGCATATATACTTATCTGCGCCAAACTGCGTCTTATTTTTTTTTTTCTAGCCGGATCAAACCGATTCTCTTCCACAAGTCACGTTTCTATGGGACAATATTCCAAATATACGGATGAATATGAAACATACTAGGTCGAGTTTACGGCTCTTTTAATAACAGGAGGAAAAGAGAAGCTCGTTCACCAACACAATTGTACAATATTTTATCGATCGAAATCGGACTTAGTGCTAGCACATTAGCTAGTTTTTATCGTCATCAAAAATCACCAAGAAGAACTTCTATGGATAAAATTATCGAATGGGTTGAAAAGGAGGGAAATAAGAAATCAGTTAGTTTTTCTGATAATAGCAGTAGCAAAAATAGTAGTAGTAGCGGTAGCGTTAGAGGAAGTATCAGTAAAGGTAATATTGCGAAATAACTTGATGCTGGGACTCTCATTTATGGCTTAGGATCCGAGAACTCCCTCCCTCTTTGATAGCGTCATATTATTTCGCTTTGCTACCCTACCAGTTTTCACTTCATTACTTAGCTATTATTAAGGCCATAAATTGTATCAGGAATTATTTTTTCAGGCATGTGATATTTTTTCGAAGGTATAAAATAAAATTATCTTCTTTATTGAGATTGACAAAAAGCGAGTTCAAAAGAGCATATGTGGGGAGACTCCGGGCCTTGTAAAAGGACGAAGCGGAGTTCACGATGCACAAATCTGACTCTTAGGATGAAAGGTAAAGCAGAAAAGAATTTTAGGGCAGTGACATATATTACGTTTATCAGCTATTTGTCATATGATCTATAGATCGTTATTACGTCACGCGTTAATCATTTGCCCTTACATAATTTATGTTGTGACTGAAATTGAAATTTCGATTTTTATTTTAATTTCAGTTAACGTATAAAATTCGATTATCAGATCATGTGATCCTAGACCTCCTAATATGATTGGCCCAAAATTATCAGCCACATTTATTTATTTGTTTATTGTTTATCGTCACCAGTCACCACTATACATCTCTCTTTCTTGCATCTTTTCCCATATTTTTTCCATATTTTTTATGGTTCAAAAATTTATTTTTAATTAATAAAAACAGTATTTTCTTTAATAATTAATTTAGAAAAAGAAAAGTTGTTAATACTTTTCATAATAATTTTATAACAAACGCGTTTTTTCATGTAGACTTCATAACGTAATCTCAGCTTTTTGGTTAAACTAAACTAGCTTTGGAAGACTAAATAAGGTTGTTTAACAAGTATGAAAGTAATTAGTTATAAATTTTATTAAAATAGTTTGAATATTTGTAGTACTATGTGTATTTTTGTAATAAAGTGCTTTTTTCTTACTTTATAGCATAATTTTTAGTATTTTGGTTAATTAAAACAGCTAAGTAAGTTATTTATTTAGAAGGTATAGACTACTCAAATATTAATTTCGTCAAGGTAGTAGTTTATTTTCAGAATTTATATGAGTATTTTTTTTTTGTAATAAAATTATTGTGCCACATATAATTTTTTTATTTTATAGCGTAATTTCATCACTTTTATCGAATAAAACAGGTCTTGAGGACCAAGTAAAGTTTTCAGCAGGCAAGGATCTATTCATATATTAATTTTCAATAAAATAGCTTGCATATTTGTAAAGTTATAGGCATTTTTGTAATGTGGTTCGTTTTTATTTTTTTTTTTTATTTTACAATGTAATTTTAGCATTTTAATTAAATAATATGTTCATTAAAGACTAAATAAATTATTCAACAAATACGATATCAATTTTCATTGAAATAACAAATTTTTGCAAAATTTATTGCTATTTTTTTTGTAATATTAGACGCGTTTTTATATGTAGTTTATTAAAAAATTAAATATAAAAGTACAATAAATATGCATTTTTTATTAAAATACAAAAATTTTTCTAAGGTAAATAGTACGCGTGACTGATTTTAAACCAATTATATTTGAGAGAAGTGGGTCTATGGTTTATTAAAAGAGTGAAACGGATAAGAAAGAAAAGGATTGATAGATAAACTATTTGATCAATAATATTTAACTATTTAATCAATGTGGCACATGGATAAGCGGCTAGTGCAAGCCACCATGTGATCAAATACTTATCGTTTATGACAACAATTTTCTTTTCAGAACATCAAATCTAATTATAATAAAATTTTATTATTTAATAAGCTCCTTGTCATATTTATATAACGTTTACTTGTTTTGATTATTAAGCTAACTTTGTTGGGCATTATTGCTAATTCACCGCACAGCATTAGCAAACTTAATGAGCGGAATTTCACAAAATTCTACCCTAATCCTGGTAAGGTGAGCGATGATGTTTAGCGATACTCAACTTTGCTCACGTGTCATGATCGGCAATAATTTTTGTTGGATTTCCCAACCGCCTCCCATTTATCTGCTTAAGCAAAGTTATGATATTTCATTCTTATTTCGTTTAATAATATAAGAATAATTTTTGTATTTTAATATATTTTAATATTTTCTATAGGTAATAGAACTAAATAACGCAGTCAATTATTTTAAAGCCAACTTGTTGATTTATTTAAGATAATTTACAGTATCTTTGAGCGTAACTACCTTGACATTATTAAATTTTGAATTTTGAGAAAATATTTGTCATTAAATACCAATAATATATTTCAGTTATTAGGAAAAATGATGTTAAAATAGATTATTAATTTACTGATTTGTCATAATAATTATTTTATATTTACAAGCAGTTGAAATTTTTATAAACATAACTTTATACATAAGAATGATTAATAATGACAAAATATTTCTTTTTATAATTTTTTGTACAGATTTAAAGCAACTAAACTAATTGGATAATACAATTTTTAAAAAATTTTTCAATCTAAACAATTTTAACGTGATTGATTCTAATTATCATGATTTTTAATGCATATTGTTACTAATAATGATATTGATTGATTGTACTGTATTTTTTCAAATTTAATAAAATAGTAAAATACCCTATATAGTATAATGAAGTAGTTTTGACCTAAGAATTTTTTTTTTTTTTAATGATGAAAGTGGTGTAATAACTAATAACCAATACGTAGGGTATTGTTCCAATATCACCTTTTTTAATCATTTTGTATATGCAAATTAATTGTTATGTAATTAAATAAAGATTTTTATTAAATATGATACAATATTAGTACCATATAGTATAGTATTATATATTATATGATGATATCAGATGTATAACCGCAGTTTGTATAAATAAATTCTGGCTAGCATTTTAGATCACATGATATAATTCTAAATGACAAACATTTGCTCTCCGAAATGACATTATGACATGTGACAATTGTGACATTTCACTAGATCATTTGTGTCATTCATTTTATTGTCACTCCAACACTGTATGAGTCATATGTTAACTTTCATTTAATATTTAAAGACAATCATTCCACATTCAATTCACTAAAACTGAAAAAATAAATCTTAAACAAAAATATCGTCATTATGTAAAAGTGATATAAGAAATTATTTTCGAATGAAACAGTTTAACGAAATTAAAAAGAAGAAAAAAATAAAGAAGGAAACTTTTTAAAGGTAAGATGTGTATGGGGTGGAATACCTCCCATCTGCTTATTCAGCTTTTAGCATCTGGACGACAATTATATTTCTGGACAACATTTCTGGACAACAATTTCTGGACAACATTTCTGGACAACAATTTCTGGACAACAATTTCTGGACAACATTTCTGGACAACAATTTCTGGACAACATTACTAGACAACATTTATAAGAATGTGTATGGGGTGGAATACCTCCCATCTGCTTATCCATGGACGACGGCGACATTCTGGACAGCATTTCTGGACAACAATAAGAATGTGTATGGGGTGGAATACCTCCCATCTGCTTATCCATGGATGACGACGACATTCTGGACAGCATTTCTGGACAACAATAAGAATGTGTATGGGGTGGAATACCTCCCATCTGCTTATCCATGGACGACGACGACATTCTGGACAACATTTCTGGACAACAATAAGAATGTGTATGGGGTGGAATACCTCCCATCTGCTTATCCATGGACGACGGCGACATTCTGGACAGCATTTCTGGACAACAATAAGAATGTGTATGGGGTGGAATACCTCCCATCTGCTTATCCATGGATGACGACGACATTCTGGACAGCATTTCTGGACAACAATAAGAATGTGTATGGGGTGGAATACCTCCCATCTGCTTATCCATGGACGACGACGACATTCTGGACAACATTTCTGGACAACAATAAGAATGTGTATGGGGTGGAATACCTCCCATCTGCTTATCCATGGACGACAACTATATTTCTGGACAGCAATAACCGGGCAACAATTCTTTTTACGAGCCTTTTCACTGACTCTTGGAAAAATTTTAGATTTTGTAGGACCATATTTATCTAATAATGAATCGGTAACGAAATGAAAATTAACGAAGTACGCGAAAAGGACAACGAAATGAAAATGTAAACACGCGACCACCTGAAAAAAGAAGGAATGATGGATATTGTTTAAAATGTGGACGAACAAATTATGGTAATTATTATAAAGGAAAATGAATTAAATAGAATTTGAAGACGTGATACCACAATAATAATAATAATAATAATAATAATCATTTTTATTTATAAATTTTGAACAATTAAGAAAAAAATCCTAATAATGATTATATTTAAGATGTAAAACAAGTAATCACAAAATAAATGAAATAAAAAATTCGAAGATAATAAAATGACCTAATTCGTCGAGATTTTTCATCCAAGCTTTCACATTATGTTGATCTTTGAGTGTCCTTTTCACATTATGATTGATCTTGAGTGTCAACTGTAAGTTCGTAACAAAAGTCATGATTTTAACAATTCTTCGCAAGGTTACTGTATTCAAAATGGCCAAAATAGCCGTTTAAATTTATATGAAAACAAGAAATATTAAATTCAAACTGGTTTACTGCCGGCTGGCATTATTTAAAAATCGAAATTATTCTAAATAATTGTATTAAATAGGTTATTAAATAGCGGAAAATAAAATATTTTTCATATTTTAAAAACCAATTAAAAATTTTGATATACAGAGAATTTTATCATGAAATCAATTTCTTCGAAACAAGAACGTCAATCGAATTACATCATCTTGCTTATGCGCGCGGTATTCTATTATAGACAGAATTTTTGCAAACGAGCTGAAAGGCTCCACTCCAATCGCAATGTGACCCTTAGTATCACTTATGGTGAACATATAAATCAGCAGTAACGAGAAATAAAATAAAAAGACAAACAAAAGAAATGATTGTGCTTATTATATAACCTAATAATAAAATAGAGTTAGTATGTAAATTATTACTTGAGATTATTGTTATAAAAAAATAAAATACCATGAAACAAAATCATAAAAAGAGTGTTTCTATTAACCCTACCGGCCTATCCAGTATCCAAGTCATCCGACCTTAACTAGGTATGTACTTTAAGACTATGAAATTTTGAAACTGTATAAATACGACTTTTATTTATTTTTATTGGTTAAATTTTACATCAAGTTATCTAGAATACTAAAACATTTAAAGTCATTAAACAACACGAAACACCGAAACACATATCATGGATATTACATATTCAAAGAGTTTCAGCGTCAGAAATTTTACATTGAAAAAGGTCAATAATTTATTGTTATAATATAGACATTGATAATTGGATTTTACTGAATGAATTTACATACATAAATTTGAAAGGCTCAACATATTTGGATAATAAATAATATACTATACTAGGTAAATGGGAACCGTTTAAGTATTTTTTTTTTCACAACCAAATTAAAAAAATTACAAAGAACGTGTTTGATATGCCAAGTGTATTAGAAACCATGATCAACATATTGCATAGGTCCCACGCTAAATTACGCTAACCCGAAAATAAACTTCAAAAGAGACGTTTCCCATGGGTCAATTGGGTCATGACCATGAATTTTTAGCCAACAATCTAAAATTGGTTAATAAATCTGCATGTACTTATCATACTCATTTAATTTTTAATTTTGTTGAAAGTTAAAAATTCATGAGATGAAACAATAAGGCTGCGTGAAATTTAGAAAATAAACAATGTAAGCAATTTTTTAATTTGTGATTTAACCAATTCTTAATTTTTCAAACATAATGATAATTTTTTTCGTATTATTTTATTATATTTTATTTGTTTTATTCTTTAGTCATTGTATCACAGATTTATTAGCGTTAAAAAAAAGTATTATATTTAATAACACAAAATAAAAGAAAGGTTATACAAGAAAATTATTATTAAATAAATTTGTGAATTTGCTATAAAAAAATTATCTTCAATAGTTATGTAATATTAGTTAGTACTTTATAACAAAAAAAGCATATTATAAATAAAATTTCATATATTATGAATATATAAGCAAGCCGCAGTCAAAACTTTTGTCTATTTTTATTAGCAGATGAAATGTGTTTCACATAATAGTATTAAAATAAAATAATTTACAGACTATTTATGTTTCGTCATTCGAATATTATATATATGTATATATATAATTCTAAATTTGGAAACAATGAAATTCAATGAAATTACTAATTTTGTTTCTCTAATACACTGGGGTCGGGCACAAACGGAGTATTACCATATTAATTTTTTCGTATCCGGGTAAATACGTATACCAATGAAATATTCTATGCATGACGTTTCACAACATAATATAAAATAAATAAATTTCAATAAAAATATTTTGAGCGAACACTAATTTATTAAACGAAAAAAAAATGATTTATTAACGCTGCGCTAATCGATAGGAACCCGTTGTCAGATCATTCCTAATGTGGGAATTAATAATAATATGTCCTTCTTACAAATAAAATTTGATATTTTTTTATTATAATTTTTTTAACATGAAAATTCTACAGAAGAAAAATCCTAATTGTTCTCACATATTTGAACAAATAAAACGGATAAGCAAAAAAGCCAATTATCTTATTAATTACATATTAAACTAAATATGGAAATCTATCACCAAATGATAATAAGGGGCGTTTTTGTGTATCAAATTTCATAAGATTATTTGGTATCATTGACGCAAATGTCACACGAAAAAGCAAAGTTCAAATAATAATAAAATTCCTTAATACGGAAAATTAAACCATCAATCAAAATTATGAGCCAGTCAGCCAAGCTTAGTTAACTAAACAAATATTGATTTTTAATTTTTGAATTTTGAAACACCTGTTTTTATTTTATTTCCAAATTAAATTTCATTGATTTTTCAATACAAGTAAGTCTCTTAATTATATCTAATTAGGGTATCAAAATTTTATATTATTTTTAACGATATAAATATTATACAAAAAAAATACTATATTTGGTACTTCAATAATTTATCTTTAATGGAAGAAAAAAACAAATGTCGTCGTTGAGCTACAACAAAATTCCCTAATTTGTTAACCAAGAACAATCATCGACCATTAAATATCGGTGATAATGATCTAATAAAGTTTTATTTTCGTTAAATTATATTTATTGATTCGAACAATCGAACAAATCTTTTATCTTTCTTTTTCAAGAATTGATCATTCTGCATGTAAGCCCCTAATCACCAGACATATTTAGTAATATATAGTAAATAGTATGATTAATCAAAAAAATTATAATTTACGATTTTGACTTGACAAATTTTTTATATAAATATGCATTCATGTCGTTCAACTATTTTTTATCATTTATACCTTCAAATTTTAATTTATACTTGTTATAATCGTTCCAGTCTTTTTAATTTTTTCCTTCTTTTCAAATTTTCGAATTTTCTCATTTCTCGTAAAGAGCGCTTTTTAATAATTTATAATTTTTTTTATCGTTACATTTATCACTCTCATCATAATATGGCACAACTTGTAGGAGATATTCTCTTATCAATTTTTACTGAATTACACGATGATTTTACTTCTTTACATTCATGTGTTTTAGTAAATACATCTTGGTGTCATATAGCTATACCTTTACTATGGAAGTATATTTCAGATGCTTACGAGTATCCTTTTAATCACGAAATAGAATCACGTGAAAAATTATATAATGTTATCGCTCACTTTTTGCCAAACAATCCAGATGATCCGTTACCACGAAATAACATTATATTACCTTTAAATAAATTCCAAAAAAGTCCAATTTTCAAGTACATGAATTTTTTCACTCGTATCTCTACAATATGGATTGAGGATATGGTTCAACTAACAATAAATGATAAAGTAAAGAAATCTAAACACAAAAGAAAAATATTAAAGCTTGAAATTTATAAGCTAATTTTCAGTAGATGTAACAATGCCAAGTATTTCCATTGGAATACTTATAAGAAATTATATCATTATCCAAACGCTAAAACATTTTTTTCAAATTTACGTTCCATTGTATTCGATTTTAAAGTCGTGACTTCCAAAACATTATTCAAACTTGCAGATATTTGTCGAAACATAACAAATTTGGAGATAAATGAATGTGATGAGGATGTTCCAGGGTTAGTTTCATTTATCAAAATGCAAAAGAATCTACAATCATTATGTATAAAATTTGTTGATATAGAAGAAAAATACACTTTATTAAGTAATGTAATTAAAAAAAAGGCTACAACGTTAAAAAAACTTATAATAGAACCCATTATTATATTAATTTCACCTATATTCATTCCATCATTAACAAATATACAATATTTAGCGCTCAATAATGAATTTGGTGAATTATATGAAAGTGTGGAGAAATGGCGTGAATGGGAACATTACTTAAACATGTCCTCCTTTCCAAATCTCCAATATCTTGAAACTTTATATATACCAAGTGATATTACATGTCTAATAATTGAAAAATCAGGAATGAATATTTCAGAAATTAAAATAAACCATTATCTTGAATCTAATGATTATCAATACAAAAATAAAAAATTAATTAAGGTAATATCGAGTTGTCAAAAGTTAATAAGATTAACTATGAATGTTGATCAAAAAAATTTAAATGAAATGAGTACGATTTTTTCAAATTGCAAGAAATTGGAAAAAATATATCTTACAACAAATGTCATTATATTACCTAATGGTGACGAATTATTAAAAGTGTTGAGTAAAGTTTCTCCTATAACTTTACAAGAATTTTCATTTGTAGACAAATGGAATTTTTCGTTAAAAGGTTTGGAAGAATTTTTTGAAAATTGGAAATCAAAAAATAGGTTCCCAATTAAATTCATTCATCATTATGATGAATGGGCTTATTATTCATGGACGGAAAATCATGATAAAATATTAGAAAAATATAAGAATGAAGGAGTAATTAGATAACTTTAGATTATTATAAAGTTTTATTGTATTATAGTATTATACCAAGTTTTTTTTTTTTTTTTTTTTTNATTTTTTTTTTTTTTTTTTTCTTCATTTGTTTATAAAATTAAATTTAATATTAATAAATATACTTAATTATTCAAAAAAAAATACTTCTGCAGAGCAGAAAGTATAATTACGCTAATAAAAATTTCTTCTCTCTTGTTGTAAAAATTATTTGGTGCATAACAACGTCTTGATAATATATTTCCTCTAAATAAGAAAAATGTAATAATGCGCCTCCGCCATTCCAGTATTTTTTTTTTTTTTGTAAATACAGCGATTCAGATATATCGAAATTATTCGTCTTGCAGAAATTATGAAAAAGTTCAGATTAATATGTTATTTTATGGTACAACTGAAGTCACTGAATAATTCTCAAAGACAATTAATTTATTACTAATTTAAAAAGAACCGAAAACGTTGGTTGGTTAGATCGAGTGCTCTATCATGAAAGACTCTGAGAGAATTAGATATATTCTCAATGAAGACGTCTATTGATTTTCTGTCCCACCGGGTCGGCTCGAAGCCTTGAACGCAAGACGACCTCAAAGATTGTATACGCCCGAAGCCTTGAACGCATAAAGACCTCAAAGGTTGTATACGCCTAGAAGCCGTGAACGCAAGACGACCTTAAAGGTCGTATACGCCCCGAAGCCTTGAATGACGGAGGATTGTTTATATAACTTTTACTTGTCTGCTTATATATATTGATCGAGCAACAGTTGTACTAGCTGGCGTCTACGTCTGTCTCCCATTAGCTGCTCCAACAAAAAGAGATGAATCTTTGAAAAGTCCGTAGTAAGGCGCAGTATGCAACAATCGCAATAGGCAGGATCATAATATTATCGCACGGCCCTATCAGATCATGCTGATTATTTGACCGATATTTTCATTATCGTACAATGTTGATATCAATAGTTTATATGCGTACAATATTGACTAATACTTTATTTTTATATATTGACATATCAATAGTTTATTTTTGTGTACAATATTGAATATCGATAGTTTATTGGTATACAATATTGAATAGTTTATTTGAGTATTTGAGCATGATCTGCGTTAGCCATACGATAATATAGATATTGTACGGTGGTAGGTATTTATATTGGTTAACGTCACGAAGCGACGTTAATTAATATAACACCATGAATTATGATATAAGAAGAGAGAGGGTTAAAATTCCCGACAACAAATTGATTACCTTATGACTAAATGAATAAAATTTTAATTTCATCAGAGTGTAAAAAAAACACCGCTACTGTAAAAAAGGTTTCCACGTTAAATCAAAAGCATATTCACACAAATTTTGGGCTTGATATCGTTAATAATTAATTAAAAATGAAAATGCTAGCGCTAATATTAAAAAAAAAGTTAACATATGAGTAAATATATTGACGTTAATTATGAAAAGTACAACTAGCAATCTTTATTAAAAAAATTGTATAATTATTGATTGATTCATTCCATAATAATAAAAATGTATTCTTCGTTCATATTAAATTAACAAATTAATAATTTATTCTTGCATTCTATTTCAGCTAAAATAGCTCAATCTATTTCATATTGAATTAATTACATTCGGAGTAAATAATGTTTCTCAATTATATAAACGAGAGAGAACATTTATAAAAAAGGTCAAAAAGATAATTTCTATTCTGAAATAAGAAAAAATTAACTTGACAGTTTCACATAATAATTAAAAAAATTCTAACGTTCCAAGTACCTTTACTTTCACATTTTATTACCATAATAATTATATATAATATATATTTCCGGTAACTCTCTTTATTAGTATTATAAATTATTTATATATTTCATATATTTTTTTTTAAAAAAAATATTTTATTTCAAAATGTTTGTTCGATAAATACAAAATCATTTATTCGCCGGAAGTGCGTGTTTCCAATAAAAAAAAAAATTATATCGTTATTAGAATTACTATATGCGTCTTAGCTCGTGACTAGACAATAATTAATTGGTCAAAATATACTCCGCGTAAATTTCCGAATATACCGCAGTTGATCAATTCCTTTTTTTAATTCCGGATGTTATTAGGTTTCGGATGTTTGGATATCTTCCGTCGTCAAAAGTTTCAGAACTTTCTTTTTTTCCATTTTTCGCCCGCAATATTAATTGGATACACAATATACCATAAATGTCATCACGTCATTTTTGGGACAATGGACATGTTGAACATGTTCAAGCGGATGATTGATGGGCGGAAGGATCGTCGCCTAATTTTTCCTTATGGGTAATCATGAAACATATTTACAATTTAGAATTTTTGGATTAGCTCATCGGATTTTATTTTATTTCGTAAAATTTACGTTTCTCGCCCGAATTACAAAGTTAATAAAACTCCGAAAAAATTTCACTAATAAAAGTACAACGTATATACCAAATTAATTCAAAAAACAAAAAACAAATTATATGGAAATCCTTTTCCAGAGCATAATCACATTTATGTAATTAAAGCGGTTTCTCATTCAAGATGTTATTATTTTCAGATTTAGTAATTATATTAAAAATGATGTTTTTTTATTTATCTACTGATTTTAAGTATATAAGGGACAAAATTTTCCTCGATTCTCTTTTCTTAAATTTCTTTCACAAATAAAGAATAACCAAAAAAATGTCTCAACAATCACAAAAATATATTTTTATTGATACAATTCAGGATCCTGAATCTTTGATCCAGGAAATCAAAGAGTTAGCTTCGAAGTTGAAATACTCATTCGCATTGCCAATTGAAGAGCTCATGATCCCAAACAGTTCTACTCCTCAAAATTCCTTCTTTATGTTTAAGAGGGACCAGATGGCAAGGTTAGCAGGGACGGAAAATCTTAAAACCAATTATTATGAGTATAAGCAGCTCTTTGAGCTGTTATATAAGCTTCAAGTCATGTATCGTGACAATACTCCATCAACCTCTATAAACTCACCAACTACCAACGATTTATCTAACGAATTTGAAAGGACTATAGACAATTTTATTCAGAATGATCCCGAAATTAATAGTATACTGTAATTATCGAATTTTTCTTATTTTGTGAAATTTTTTACAAAATTTATTTTAAGGCACTTTTTACTAACTCTTTTTTTTTTTAACTATTCTAATTAGTAATGAATTGTTTGATAAGATGGATAAAAAAAAGTGTTAATATATCTTATATTAATTTTTTTTTTTATTACTATTAATTTTGTTAATTTGATTTTGTTATTTGATTATTATTATTGTTGATATGTTATTTTTTTCAATTTTTATTACTTTTTTTTTTTTTTTTTAAAAAAAAAAAAATTCACATATTATAGAAGTTATATTCTTTATAAATTAAAATTATTTTATGCATTTTCTATATTTAATATTTAATAGTTAGTATTTATTTATAACCAAATAAGAAAAATTTTATAAGCCTCTTTTTTCATAAGCAACTAGTTTTAAGCTCAAAATTCTCAAACCGTAACAAATTATGAATCAAATTATTATGTGAAGTGATAGTTTGGCACTTAATAAGAGAAAATGATCGGACTTCTTATTAATAAAAAATTTTTTTTTTAAAATTTCGTGTTCTTTATTATACAAACTTTTTTTAATGAACAATAAAAAAACAGTATGCATAACTCTTTTGGCTAAGAGAATTACAGTCTGACCTCTATGTAATCACACCTTATATAGAGTCACACCTCTTTATAAGCACCCATTTTTGTAAAACACCTCCATATCAGCTATAATCACTATCACAAAATTCTTAACGTACATATTATTTGTATTAATTCGCTTATAAATTGTAATTCTGGCCGCGTATCATAATGTTTGGCTGAAATTATAAAATCGTATAATATATTTTGCAAGTCGTAATTTCCTTATTAGGAAAATTTTGTAATTCCGACCAGCACTATATTTGGCCAATATATATATATATATATATATATATGTCAATATGTCTATAATTTCGGCCAGAATTTAATTTTGGTTCAACTTAAAAATTTCTATATCATCACTCCTCTAAGTACTAATCACCAATTTTGAAGGAACCGAATAGGTGATTATGTGGAGGTCAAACTCGCACTGGTGGAAACCATGCAAATATAAAAGATAAAAAAAATAAAAAAAGCTAAACTAAAACTAAATAAAGGTTTAAAAATTAAATAAGAACAAAATTAACTTATTTTTGGTCAAAATGGTTCAAAAATAAATCATTTAAAATTCGAATTAGCTGGAAATTTACGGTCAAAATCTTACGTTCCTCCATAGTGAAGTCGAAGACGTGGAACTTTAGCGACTTCAAACTCTGCAAGTGGTTTATCCCGGATTGACACTATTAATTACTATCTTTAAAATTTGCATATCATATCAATATCACATGATGAGATGATGATCCGGTAAAAAGGGTATTAATCGATTTTAGCGATAATTTGTGTAAATCAGAATTATTAAATCCCTTAAAAGTAGTTGATCAGATCAAAGAGGGCTATGGTACGATTGGTACGTTTCGACAAAGTCCATTTTACTGAAACCAAAGCCATTTCATCAAAGAGATATTTTGCTGAATGGATGTTTCATTAAATGGACATTTTGTTGAATGGACGTTTGTTGAATGAACATTTTGTTGAATGGATATTTCGCTGAATCCTTTTCATGAATCATCCATTTCGTCGAAAAACATTTGTCAAAATTGTTGTTAACATGATATTTCCTTAATTATTAACAATTCAATACAAAGAAAATAAAAAAATGTTTAAAAGACCAAATTCTCCTTAAAACTATCTTATTTTCACTTGTTTTGGAAAATTGTATATTGAATTTATCAAATAAAAATAATTAAAAAATAGACAAAATGCAACTTAATATAATGTACAAATAATTCATTTGTCTTCTCTAAAAAAAGGAAAGGAAAATTAAAGAATTCCGTATCTTTAGCAAAATGTCCCTTCACCGAAATAGCTTCAGCAAAATGACCTTCGGTAAAATGGCCAATTCGGTAAAATTTCCATTTGGAAAAATGACATCCCTTCAGTGAAATTACTTTGGCGAAATTGGTTTTGGTAAACAAAAAATCAACCCATATTCTTATAGAGGAGTTCTTTATTTAATGATTAAATAGGAAACAATTTTGTAGTCGACCATATGAATATCTACAACATATAAACTAGCTGTTAGTTAAACATCAGGATTAAGTAACAACTTTTCTATCATATGAGCTCATACTCATTAAACAGTCATTAAATTCTAACGTTAGCGAAAATTTTCAAATTTTTTAATTATTTTTAAATATTTTCTTTTGAGAAAAGATCATTGGTAAAGAACCTCAAAAGTTTACTTTGAGTTAAATATGTTTTTTCTCGTGTAGTTTTAAAATTATAAAATCGTAATATTTTCTTTTTTAATTATTTTCGTTTTTTTCTAGTAAAAATATTAATACTCGCACTAAACCAAACCAAAACGTTGCATGAATTAAACTCATTCACATATTTTCTAATTTGGAACTATTCACCCACTTGCTCGTATTTTTAAGATAATAAAGTTCCTACCGCCATGTTGATTAGACGTGCGTAATCTGTATTGCACAATAAAGTCTTCCATGGTAAGCACTTTTTTTATTAATGAAGTTTACTTTTTATTCTATAAGTATACTTATATATTGCAATAAATCATACCTATTATAAAAACTTTATGCCTATTTGATTTATGTGAAATTAAAAAATTGTAAAAAAATACCTATTAATTTTGAATGAAGTGTTTCCATGAATTTGAGTCTAATCGATTTTTAATGTGATAAATAAATTTATTTAATAATAAAATTGAAAATTTAATGTTTAATTATACCTTAATCGGGCTTAATGTTATATGATATGTGATGCGCGTCTTTACATCACGCATGTCAGTCGCAAATCGTCACATGAGGCACAACGTATGCACATATATTTTCATCAAGGCCTATTAATTCTATAAAATGAAGGTCAGACTGTAGATATTCTTTTTTAATTTTTAATAACTATTATTTCCTACTATCAAACTTATTGGTAAAATCAAATAAGTACAATTTACTTGCAGCCAAAAAAATTTTAATGTTAATCAAGTTAATTGGCAATGGTTAACTGGTTTTTTTAACTGGGTAGAATTTTTCAACTTTTAGACTGAGGCTATTACAAGAATAGGTCTGAAATAAGTGCTATTTTAATAAAAGTTTATTATTCTGCCTTTGAGCACATGGATTAATATCATGATTATGTTTTGTGTAGCACAACTGGCACGTACAAGAGATAGCCTGGAACCCGGAAACCCGGACCCGGCCCGGACCCGGATCCGGGTTTGGGCCGGCAAACTTCTTCAAAATTCACCCGGGCCGGCACATGATTCTTCGTTAAATCCGGATTTTCGTAATTCTGGCCAAAATCGTCGTAATTCTGGCCGAAATTAAACTGGCCAAAATTAAGTTGGCCGATTTTTTTGTTTATACAAAATGATATATTAATTTACCGGACCAGGTTGTATAATAGGGTTAATACCCCCTAAATCAGAGTATTGTAAAAAATAATGATGGAATCTATAGAAAATATGGGTAGAACCCTACGGAATTTATTTTGAAAGTTAAATATTAGATCAAAATATTGAAAATATTGGTGACAAATGACAAATAGATAATTTGGTAAAATTATACTTCTTTAAATAGTCATATATATTGATTGAGTATTATAAAAAGTGAAATAAAATGAAAATATTTGCTTAAAACTTGAATGTTTCTAATTTGGACTTTTAATATGCTTTAAACTTAAAAAATTTTATTATTTTTTTATATTATGCAAATGCATGCTTATTTTACTTCGTTTATAAAAAATGAATCTATGCAAAAGCAAAATTCTAGCATATTATTCATACCATTTAAAATCCAATGGCTTTTAATTGCCCGAGGAATCTAACACCCCTAATTGAAACGTTAATCACCAGAAATTTCAACACCGTTATTTTACACAAAAATAAAAGGAACGAATATTTTAATGTTTAATATTTTCATCATTATAGTATAAGAAATCATTTTTGAGAATTTTTCCAATTATAATTAATAGTGATCCGATCTTCATCTTACGGATTGTGTTATAATTCTTCTTAATATATGTATTATATAAATCCAAATGTTCAGTGTAATTGCAAAAAATGCTCCCTATCTTTTCATTTTTAACTTCCTCAATTTCATTTTTTACAAATATAAAAGGAAATAAGCAGGGGTTAGTTTATTCAAAAGGGGAGTTATAACGTAAGTGGATGGTGAGGAAGGGATGGAAAAGACAATAAATAAAAAAAAATTATTATCTAAAAAACAGTTTTAAAATAGAATACACCTTCATGTTTTAATTAAAATTAGAAATTCCGGGGTATTAATTATTGGGCTACTATCTTTTGATCTTATTGATCTACATCATGATTTTCAAATTCTTACTATAATTTCTTAATGTCGTAATGCCGGCCAAAACTACCCGTTTTAGACGATCCATAGTTGGAATTTCTCAATGAAGATCAGTGCATGTGCATTCGGAAATAATACGGCCCGAAAAAATTATTCGTTATTGTAACTACTACTTTTGATTTATTCATGATATACTACAGTAAATAAGAAAAAAAAAATTTGTTTAAAAAATTTGTCTAGGAAAAAATTAAGTTTTTTTCAAGTAAAACAAAATTCTAAAATAACCAGATAATAATACTGATACAATGAACACCGAAAATTGCTTATATTGCAATATACCTTTTACTGAAGAATTATGGTGTAAAGAATGTATAAATTCTTTAGAAAAATTAGCAGAAAATGGAAATAAAGAAGCAATGTTTAGTTTAGCAAACTGTTGTAATAATGGAAAAGGAACAGAAAAGAATTTTGAAAAGGCCTTTCATTGGTATCAAAAAGCAGCGGAAAAAGATCATATTATTGCAATGCTTAATTTAGTTAATCACTATTATAGTGGAGAAAAAACAGAAGAGAATTTTGAAAAAGCTTTTCATTGGTGTCAAAAAGCAGCAGAAAAAGGTCATATTGATGCAATATTTAATTTAGCTGCATGTTATAGAAATGGAGAAGGAACTGAAAAGGACTTTGAAAAGGCTTTTTATTGGTGCCAAAAAGCAGCAGAAAAAGGTCAAATTAATGCAATGTTTAATTTAGCTAATTACTATTATAATGGAGAGGGAATAGAAAAGAATTTTGAAAAAGCTTTTCATTGGTGTCAAAAAGCAGCAGAAATGGGTCAAATTGATGCAATGTATAATATAGCTAATCACTATTATATTGGAAAAGAAACAGAAAAGAATTTTGAAAAAGCTTTTTATTGGTATCACAAAGCAGCAGAAAAAGATCATATTATTGCAATGTTTAATTTAGCCAATCACTATCATAATGGAGAAGGAACAGAAAAGAATTTTGAAAAAGCCTTTTATTGGTGTCAAAAAGCAGCAGAACAAGGACAAATTGATGCAATGTTTAACTTAGCTAATTACTATTATAATGGAGAAGTAACAGAAAAGAATTTTGAAAAAGCCTTTTATTGGTGTCAAAAAGCAGCAGAAAAAGGCCAAATTGATGCAATGTTTAATTTAGCTGTATATTATAGAAATGGAGAAGGAACAGAAAAGAATTTCGAAAAAGCCTTTTATTGGTATCAAAAAGCAGCAGAAAAAGGCCAAATTGATGCAATGTATAATTTAGCTGTATATTATAGAAATGGAGAAGAAATGGAAAAGAATTTTGAAAAATCCTTTTATTGGTATCAAAAAGCAGCAGAAAAAGATCATATTATTGCAATGTTTAATTTAGGCAATCACTATCATTATGGAGAAGGAACAGAAAAGAATTTTGAAAAATCCTTTTATTGGTATCAAAAAGCAGCAGAAAAAGGTCAAGTTGATGCAATGTGTAATTTAGCTGTATATAATAGAGATGGAGTAGAAACAGAAAAGAATTTTGAAAAAGCCTTTTATTGGTATCAAAAAGCAGCAGAAAACGATCATATTATTGCAATGTTTAATTTAGCTAATTACTACTATAATGGAAAGGGAATAGAAAAGAATTTTGAAAAAGCTTTTCATTGGTATCAAAAAGCAGCAGAAAAAGGTCAAATTGATGCAATGT